CCGGGCTGGCAGGCGGGTGGGTGCGTGAGGCCGGGCCTCGGGTGCCAGATGCACCCCAGTGCCCCCCAGCTCCAGCGGTTTGTGGGTTTCCTGAGCCAGGGGCGGCACCGCGGGGTCTGCTGGCTCCTGGTGGGTTTGTCTTGTGTGGGTTCACCCGGTTTCTTTCTGAAGTTTTCAGTACCCACGGTGTCCCGTGGTAGAATTTCACATCTGTAGGCTGTGTGAGGATGGGCTACTCGTCTTCTCTCAAACTCCCAACAGCGGCTCTCATTTATTGTTCTCCAGCTCTTATAGAAGCTGTATTGAATATTCATTCCTTGTTTGTCTTTTCCAAGTCACTCGTGAGTTTATAGGCCTGTCTCCTTCAGCCAGGTTTTTTTTGTTTGTTTCTTTCTAACCTCGTCCATTATTCAGTGTTAATCATTGTCTCATTCCTTTGTACATTTTCTCTGTCATTTTTGTGTTGGGGAAGCAGCACTGCACGCAGTATCCCAGATGCTGTGTCATTGATTTATATGGTGGCATAATGAAGTTTTCTCTCCCTTTCCCAATAGATGTCTTTGCCTTTTTGTCTAAGCACTGGGTTCTATTAAAACGTCACTTGTCTGACAGTCCTCTGTAATCTCTCAGTGTCATGAGGCCCTCTTCACCATTTGTCTCTTTGCTACATCAGTACTTGGACAGCATGGTTCCTGCTGCCTCTTTTTTGGTCCTCTCATTTTTACTAGCTATTTACCTGGGAGAAAACCTTCACCCTCATCCTGTGGTGGCTCGGTGTCTGCAGAAGCGTTTCAAAGCACTGTAGCTGAATGTGTTCAGAGCACCCAAGCAGATTGTACCTACTGGATCTCCCTCACCCAATGGCTTGCTGACACCTTAGCAAAACTCTTTAAAGAGATTTGCGAGTGGGGTTTTTTTTCCCCAATATATGTTTGGTTTTTTTTTTTTTTTTTAAAGTATCTGCCTAATCTTTGTTGCAATTTCTGTCAGTTTGCCTGGAACAGGTGTCAGACATACTGGTCTGTGTTTCCACAGATCTCTACTGTAATGCTCTTAAAACTTGATGTTTGCCATCTTCCAGTTATTTCATATTAAGGCTGTGTTGGAGAAGTGGCACACTACATGTCTTAATTCAGTTACTGCTGAAGTGAGATACTCAGTTCATTCTGAAGAAGGTTTTTGAACCCTTGGGTGAATATTGTCTAATGTTAGTGATTTGTTACTGTTTATTTTGTTGGCTTCCACAGTTGTTCTTATAGACAGTTCTGTTTGAGAGAGATCCTCAGCTGTTCCTCATGGTTTGAGATTTTTGCCCTGGTGGCCCATCACCCCGCAAATTCCTCCATGGTGAAGAGGGATGCACAGACTTCTTTTTTCACTCTCTGCTCTGGCTTTGCCTTCCTTGAACAGCCATTCCATACCTTGGTTTTCAACTGACCCTGCAGATTCTGTCAGACAAGAACACGTATTACAGTCTTTCTCATGGATGCTCTTTATTTCTCTGATTCAGGAGAGTCTGTCCTCATTGTCAGAAGATTTTCTGGCTGATAAATAGTAACAAGACTAAGCCTGACAGCAGTAGTGAAGGGGGAGCAAGGAGGCTGTTGCCAGTCTCTTAGCTGAAACCTGTAATAGAGAACACTCCGCGCTCAACGGACTGTATTCATGTGGGCGCAGTGGTGCCATGCTGAGGATGAAGTCGGCTCTTGGAGCAGTAACCACAATTATCGTAATTAAAAGAATTACTTTGCTCCTCTCTCCTGCTCCCCAGCACAGTGCATCAGGGTAGTATTCCCCAGATTTCAAATAACTTCCTCAGTATAAAGAGCAAACTTCTCTTCTAAATGTCCTTGGAAAATCCCATTTCTCTGTTCTCCTTCTGATTTCTCTACTTCTTTATTTAGGGTTTTGGGGTGATGCTTATCTCTGTAATGACGGATCATAATTTAGCAGGGATTTGTTTCAGTGGCGGTGCTGGCTTAAACAGCTGCCTGTTCACCACTGCTTGTTCTACTGCCCCTTTAGTTGTGGCAGTGCAACTCATGTTGAGCAGCGGGATGTAATGGATCTGAATTAAAAACAATAGCAAACCCAGCCTTCCTCGCCCCTTGTCCTGAAACCTGCATCAGTTTTCTGATCCAGCTCTGCCTGACACTGCACAGAGCTGCCCTGGCACAGCTGAGGGAATGGGCCATGGTTAGATGGAAAACGTGGTAGCGATTCTTTTAGGGCAGGATTGTGATGATGCTTTCTGGGCACCAAGGGCAGAGCTTTTATTTTTTTTTTTAATTTATTTTTAATTTACTCTGTTGCATGTTTTTTAAACTTTCTGGTCATTTGCTAAAGTACAGGTACTTCTGTGCCTGTTCTGTATTCGGCTTTAGCTGGTACACCCCGGGGATGCTGATCAGTTGTACAGCCCCATCTTGCTCTCTCAGCAGGGTCTCTGCCAACGTCAGTGCGCCCAGGTGGATAGCACTGGGGGTAGAAAGCAGTTGTTCTACAGTGAATTTTAACTGTATGGTTGAACAGATTCCTTGCATCTGGCTCATTCATTGTGCATCTTCCAGTCCCTGCTGTGAATGGGGTGGCACAGCTCCAGGTCACAGCTGTCTTCATGGTGTGTGCCAGTCTCGTTTATCAGTTGTTTAGTACGGTGATGAGTCTGGGTTCTGCATAAAAATAACAGTATATGAGCATGTGGCTGGGGGCGTGTCATTGTTCTTGGGTGGAAATTAGGTCCATGTGGGTAAATTTATAATTTTGTAATTTTTGTAAGTTGTCTGTAATTAGGAATGTCATCATTTTGTTTAGCTTTTTGCTGGGAAATGATCAGAAACAAGTAAATTTGTCTTGCATATCTATTTGCAAGAGAGTGTGACTTATGAAGCATATTGCATGGTACTTGCGCAGTGAGTATCTAACCTTAGCTGGCATCCACTAGCATTTATTGGGACCTAATTTCATTAAAGTTGACTAAATGGAATGTTTTCAGTTTGTGAGGAAGCATAATTTTGGAGGGGAGCTGTGAAATACAGATTTGAAACTTAGTATGTGCCAGATGGTTTAAAAAAACCCCAGCGTCTCAGAAACATTTATGCATGGATATTCCAGAGTTAAATACTGTTTTTACAGCATGTTTGAAAGCTCCCAAGGGCTGGGGCTTATAAGGTGCTATGGCTTGGGTGGAGGATCTCGAGATTTCCAGCTGCTGGTTGGTGCTCAGACTGCAGACTCCCAAGTGAACCTTGTTCCATGGGTGGTAGGGAATAAGGTTCACATCACAGGTGGTTTCAGAATTTTCTTTGTAGCAGAAAATGTGAAAACCTTGATAGTCTGGGCTTGAGTGTATTCTCTTAAGAGTTTTCTGGCTTTCCTCAGTGGAGCCACGAATATAGGTGTAGTTAAAACCTGTGGCTTTCAAGCCTAAAATAGGTAAAAGAAATCACATTTTAGGTATAGTGCTTAGACACTGGCCTGATGACTGACTGTAAAGGGAGCTCAGACTTAGTAACATAGGTCCCTCAGCACTGTAGGTGTTCAAAGTGAAGTGAGAAATTCCACGTTTGAGAGGTCAGCCAAAGGGTAAAGGCTGAGATAGAGTCACAAAATCCTGCTGCTTGCTCACCGTACAAGTGGGCTTTGATGATCCTAAAGATCTCCTGTCCCTAAAATTTATTTATCAAAAATAACTTTAAATTCAATGTTTAAAACATTATCAAAGCCCTCTTTCTTCTGCTTACCTCAGGCCTTGTTCCGCTGTCAGGGATTACTCTAGGCAGACAATGTCATAGAATCATAGAATCATAGAATGCTTTGGGTTGGAAGGGACCTTGAGAGATCATCGAGCCCAACCCAAATCAGTTGAGAGTGAAAATTCAGAGGATTAAAGGTGTGTTTGTCTGTAGCCCAAATTAAAAGGCATCTTATTAGAAACTTGTGTGCAAATGTGTAGAGAGAAGTGTCTCATTTCATCTGGTTTGGTGTTGGCACATATGCTGCCATTTCAATCCTTCTCAGCTACCAGCTGAGGTGGGATGCTCCATTTCTTGGTATTTTTTGTCTGCTCTTCCCTGCCTTTAGATTCTGACATCTTCACTGATTTCTACTTTCTGCTGGTTTTGAGGGTTGTGTTCTCCCTTCTGACCGTCATCTTTTTATTGCTTTGGAGAAGGCCATGAAAGGTGTTTCTTATGCCTCTCATTGAAACCTTAGATGAGGCACAAATGGGAACTCAGATCTGAGAGTTTTCTGGAGCCCACTGTTGCATGGGGTGATTTAGTCAAGCTGGATTGGTTGGCGCTGGGCTCCAGAAGACTACCAGCACAGGTCTCTGGTGGCTGAGAGATCCCTGGCATGGTGTTCACCTTTCTCTGTGTCCAGTGGCGCAGTTCAGAGATCAGTGATTTTCATGCAGAGCATTGCTCTCCCAGCCAGTACTGCCAGGAGAGGCTCTTCTCTCCTGGTGTGCATAGTGTGCTCTGTAGTTCTGGCTGTCACTGAGCTCTCTAGTGTCTCGCTTATTTTCCAGGTGGAACCAGGTGTGCAACCGCTGGAACCTGCCTTTGAAGGACATGAAAATTTCCCTCCCAAAAATGCAATAACAGACCAAGAGAGCAGCCAACAGATACAGCAGCTGGTGAGTTGTGAACCTGGTTTTGGGTGAATGAGGGCTATACTTTTTGTTAGGGTTTTCACCTGTTCAATCCAGGCAGAGATTTTGGAGACTGAAGTGTTTTTAGGTGCAGCTGCTCTGCAAAAGTGGGAAGCTTGGGGAATCGGTGGGAAAACACAGGCCATCTGCAGGGAGAGTGTTGCTGGGTGGCAAGTCCAGATATAGGGCTGGCAGGGGAATATGTCATGCTAAAATGAGAAGGAGATGCGCCAGTAGATTCTGTGCTGTGTTTGGTTTAGTCTTATTTGAACTGGGAACAGATATGATTAACCTGGGACAATTGTCGTGTGAGGAATATGTCCCTTGTGAGTTATTCCAGCAAAGTAGGACAGTTCACAGTGTGGTTTAGCTGCTCTTATCTATCTGAGGAACCAAGAGTAGTAGTGAGCAACTGCAGATAAAGGTATATAACCAGAGGATGTCTGCTCTCTGTTAGGTGTCGTTTGGATTAGAATAGGAGCTAAGATAGCACAGCTAGTGTTTCAAGCTGAATATTTTGCACAGCTGTTTTTGTCCCCTGCATCCTGTCCTCCATACTATCCTATACAAGTAGGAACAATCTGTGTAAATGGGAAACAGAGAACTGTTTCCAGAAGACAAAAGGCTTGGGGAAGAGAGGAACAGCTATTCCATCTGAAAAATTTTTTAGTTTTACTACCTTTTAAAAAAATCTCCCTTGGTTTCTGTATTGTTTATGTTTGTCACAAAGAGATTTTCTGAAGAAAATAAAAATATCTAATACAGCATTGGGTCTGAGAAGCTGTGCTTGAATTTCTTATGCGTTGTAAGAATGTGGACTTGCTGATCTACTTATGCTTGTTTTGTGCAGGAATTTGAGCTCAAGAAGAAGCGCAAAAAATGTGAAAACCTTGAGCATGAAGTAAGGAAAAAGCATAAAAGATGCAAAGAACTGGTAAGTGTTCTTGTTGCATACTGTTGTGAGCATAATGGTAGAAGAGAAGCTAGGTTGTTGTGTGCCTCTCTTGGATTCTCTTCAGTTTATCTTCATAAGGAATCACCAGTCCTTAATTTGAACAGTGTCACAAATTTTGGGCTCCAGCCCTTGAGGCTGGAATTGTTTATTTGGTCTTTCAGCTAGCTATGGGTTGAATATAGCTACATAAGTCACTGGATGAAACTCTGTGGCCTTTGCTAGTTTGAGGAGATACTTGCCATTTTCACATGCACTCTAGACGAGTATTGAAACATTTCTGTGTCTTGAGATGGTAATTACACAAACCCACAGTCATTTTCTTGTTCTTCTTATTTGTTGGGTAAAATCCTGCCTCTGTTTAATTTCATGGAGGTTTTGCAGGTCATATCACAGCATCTGGATTTCTCCCTTCTGTTTCTACTTTGCTGAGCAGCACTGGTGGCATTAGTGACTATGACAATGTCTAGTTTCACCCAAGGGTGCTTACCTTCTGAATAGATGTTTTACGTCTTGTTCAAATCTCAGTTCAGGTCAGTTCTAATGCACAGCTCAGACTCAATTGCAGTTCATAGTTCATAGCTCAGCCTCATTGTCTGGGTTAGAATGGGACATTTAAGGAATAAGTTGGTCATTGTATGTTGTTAGACAGCAGCTTTTCAAGGACAGGAAGGGACCAACTCACCCTGAAGTACTGGGACTTAGACTGTGTGCACAGGGAATTAGCTCTTGGGATAGCCAGAAAATATTTGATGATCCGTAAAACACTGGGATGGGGAAGTGTGTGTCTGTGTCTATGTGGAGTCATGTGATTATGCAACTATTTAATTCATCTAATGCTGTACAAAGTTGCTGTGGATGGGCTGGACCTGACAAATTCGGTCAGTGTCTCTCCATATGTCCATGGTCTCCTGCCTGCTCAGAGACAGTATTCTCTAAGGCAGAGTGATAGCTGGCTCATGTTGCTTTCTTAACTCCAGACTGAATCCTGGTTTCAGTCAGCTGTTTAAAACTCTTGAGTTTGCAGTCTAGAACTCTCTTTGGCATCATTCTTCCAAATAATTTTTCTTCCTTAACTGAAATTGTCAAGAAGACTGTGATCTTGAACCAACAGTGAAACTTGAATTGTTTTAGGTAGAGATGAAGAGGTAGAGACAGCTATATGTAAATAATATGATACTGGAGTTGTGAAGTAGACAAGGAAATGTCTTTCTCATTCTGGGCTTTGAGGCTACATTAATGGGAAAAGAAACTAAAGAGATCATCTGGCACAGGGCTCGTATCTGCTTGAGCAGTGATGCATGCTGTTGCCTTCCACCCCTCAAGCAGCATCCCATCAGCATCCTGCACCATTAGTCAACAGGAGCAGTGGAGCTGCCCTGCAGAATAATTGGGGGGAGTTAGTCTGAGGGTCTTGGTGTAGTAATGCCTCTTCTTTCTGGACAGGAGATCCAGCTGCAGGAGGTACAAAGTGAAAATGCACGTCTGGCCGAAGAGAACTTGCAGCTGAACGAGAAGGCTGGATGGGCAGGACAGGTAAAAAGCAGTATTTTTGCCAGATGGAGCATTAGCTTCTGTAAAATTTTGCTGAGGAGAACTTGCTAGCATGCTAGGTTTTCACGTTGCCAGCTGAGTAATGGGTGTACGCCCCTCTGTGTACCTCTCTGTCCTGCATACCCCATGGTAACTGCAAGCAGAGCAGTTAACTGCCTTATTTTTATTACAGGGTTTCCCAAGAGTTGAGTGAGATGCTTTGTCCTTACTTAAGTTCATACTTTTGTTTACCTGTGGTAACTTGTTAATGAGTTCATAACCAAAGATGGACAGTGATTGGTGGGGAAGCAGTGTGCACTGGTCACAGTGGTAGTAGAGCAGAACCCATCACTGCAAGTGGTGCAAGCATATGGTGTGTTTGAAAGTCCTCAGTCACCTCTGACATTGTTTTGTTGTCCTTGAGGAGGAGTTATGGTGGCTGATGATGGGGCAGGGGAGAAAGCTACCCCTGCAATTCAAAGCAGCCTTTGCCAGATGGAAAACCCAAAAGCTTCAGGTCTTGGGACAAAGGCAAGATACTTGCATCGTTCAGTTTGCAGAGCGGATTTCAGGGGAGGGTGGATTGGAGGATTGTGTTCTAGGAACATGTTTGTGGTGGGTTGACCCTGGCTGGATGACAGGTGCCCACCAAAGCCACTCTATCACTCCACTTCTCAACTAGACCAAGGTGGGAAGGCTAGCGTGGGGGAAATGTAATGAAAGGCTCGTGGGTTGAGATAAGACCAGGGAGAGATCACTCGCGAATTACCGTCACGAGCAAAAGAGACTCAGCTTGGGGAAATCGGTTTAATTTATTACCAGTCAAATCAGAGTAGAAATAAAACCAAATCTTAAAACACCTTCCCCCCACCCCTCTCTTCTTCCCGTGCTCAACTTCACTCCCAATCTTCTCTACCTCCTCCCCCTGAGCAGTGCAGGGGGATGGGGAATGGAGGTTGCGGTCAGTTCATCACATGTCATCTCTGCCGCTCCTTCCTCCTCAGAGGGAGGACTCCTCACACTCTTCCCTGCTCCCTTTCTCTTCAGGTTGAATCTGAGAATGCTGACCTGAAATTGCAGGTTGTTTTGGTTACTAAGGAACGGGATTCAGTAATTCGGACGAATCAAGGACTCCAAACCAAGCTGGAGAATCTAGAGCAGGTGCTGAAGGTCAGTAGGATCCACATGGCTGGAAGGACTGCCCACACACTTAATGCTGCTTTTGGATGGCACATGTTGTCTCTGCTTTTTTTGTCCATTCTTTTTTGTCTCTGTGCTTCCATTGGAAATTGTGCTTCTGCAGGATCCTGGAACATGCCCTTCCAAAGTGGGCAGAGGTGCTTTAGAAAGGCTGCTTCAGGGATTTGGGTGGGAGGGGAAACAAGGTGGCCATCACTGATTTAAGGATTTTCTTTTGCCTGTGTTACTCTGGCTTGTGGTAAGAGTTTCTTACTTTCTCCTCTGTTTAATGGTGACATGAAATACAGGCCATGTTTTGACTTCATGGCCCATGATAGGACACAGGACAGTATTTCAGTAATGTCACCCTTCAGCTGTCTGTGAATTTTTCTGCAGCACATGAGAAATGTGGCTGAGCGAAGGCAGCAGCTGGAAGTCGAGCACAAGGAAGCGCTGCTAGTCCTGCAGGAGAAGCAAGAGGAAGTTAGACGGTTGCAGCAGGTATGCAGTGTGTGAGAGAATGGACACTTTACTCTCTGAATCCCTGGAAAGTGATGGGACTCCTGCACATTGTTTCCTTGGAAGTGCAGTGTATGGAGGAGGTATACGTGAGTTTACAGGATAAAGTAAAGCAGGGAAGAGTGTCTGCATCTAGATGAACTCTGGTACCTGAGCAAAATGAAGGGCTTTTCTCATGAATAGCAGTTCTGATCTCTCACTGCTGTTTGTCCAAAGACCAAAGATGCTTTCAGTCTGTACAGTGTTTTAAATCTGTAATGGTCTATCAAGGTGGTGATGATAGAAGTGAACTTAGGTAGGCTGCTTTCTTATTTACTCCATTTCTTATTTCTTCTTAGGCACAGGCAGAAGCAAAAAGAGAACATGAAGGAGCAGTACAGCTTCTAGAGGTAAGACAGAAGAAAACAAGATGGATTAGTGGCTGCAGATTTGGTATCTTTTGTTCTTAACATCAGCTTTCTTGATGCCCTGAGTTTTGTTGGTTCTTGAGCAAAATGCGTTAACGTCTTGATCAGACGCAACATGTTGCTGCTGTGAACAAGTATCGTTTGTGCTGGTGGAGTAGTCTCTGGGGTCAACGTTTTGGGGGATTAAATCCTGGCCTGCTCAGTCCTCAGGTTACTTCATTCAGATTGTGCCCAACAACTCTTTCAGGGATGTGTTAAGTAACCAACCTGAGATCTGCCTGCTCCATTTTCCAGTGTCATCTGCAGGGAGGAAGAATACTTGCGTCCATGTGATTTGAAATTGCTTTTATGTATATGTACTCTATGCTTTTTATTAGGGGGAAAAAAAGGAGAAATGTGACCTTTGCCTGAGCGTAGTGAGTGATGAAGTTTGAGGTAGCTCCCTTGCCCCATTTGCTAGGCTGGCCCAGCTGTGTGGGTGCTCTGACATCCACACAGAACATGCTTTGCCGTCATGGCAGACAGCTTAATGCTGCGGTCTGGCAGATGGGATGCTGCCTGTGCAGCAGCTCTGTGGCTGTTCAGAGCCCAAGAGAGTTGCGTGAGATGGTAAGTGTCCTTGATGGAGGAGATTGCTCTACGGCTGCAAATAACATCTCCTTTGAAGGGAGCCTGGCCTGTATCTGAACTGGAGAGCCTGAGAGTGCTGGGTTCCCACTGGATGGGACTGAAATTGTTGTAGGCTGGGCGAATATTGTGGGGCAGTGACATTATGTGTTGCCCCATTTCCACATCCTTTCTGGGACATCTGCTTTTGGCTGCAGAGACAGGATCAGAGCTGATATGGGTGCTGCTCTTATGGCAGTTGGTATTTAGCTGACTTCTTAGCAGCCTTTAAGGGAAGGGAGACATCTACCTGTGCAAAGGAAGAAAGGGACAGTCATTTTGTTCTGTGTTTGGGAGGCTGGTTGTGTTCTTCTGCAATGGCCTCATCAGTTAAATATTCTTGCTTTCATGTTACTGGTACAGAGATGCTTTATAAGTCAATGAGACCAGGTGGACCAAAGAAAGAGAAATTGTCATTAGAAGCTAGTTTAAAGTGGAGCAACAGTCATTTAAATGACTTAACTATAATCATAGTCATTCCGGAACATCAGTGTAGGACAAAATTAGGGGGTCTGGGGTGCCTACGCTGCATATTGTCATTTTTACATGTGTTTGGATTGCTTTTTGATGCAATACTAATGAAGAATGAGTGTGATCCATTTCCCTGTTGGAAGAGTTCAGTCACATGATTGTCCTAAGTGGAGTCTCCCCCCATGGAGATGTTCAAAACTCAGCTAGACAAAGCTCTTGGCAACCTGCTCTAGCTGACCCTGCTTTGAGCTGAGGGAGTTGGACTAGGTGATCTCCAGAGCTGTCTTCCAACTCAGCTATTCTGTAGTTCTGTGATAAGGCGGTGATGGGGGTGAGTAGAGGTATGGAATGGTTTCTGTGTGCAGAGATGCCGTGGATAGAAGGACTGTCTCAGCTTAGAAGGAAAATCTCGAGTGTTATGGTCATGGCAATTAAGGAGTTCAGTAATGGTTCCAAAGTACATGAGAAAAGATTCTCAACTGCCTTTTGCACTGCATAGATGCAAAAGGCGACAGACAGCCTGATTTCAGGAATCCAGTGTAGAATTTTGTTGGGAAATATGGTGATAGAGCTTAACTTTGCTTGTTTTCCCCGACTGAGGAGCAGGGTGCATGACTGAGCAGGCTATCAGCAGCTTGAAATCATATCAAAGCCAGGTTCTGAGCTGTGCCTTGATTCCCATCACTCCTTGGTCTCAGACCTGGGGAAAGGTGTGGACGCAATGTGTCCATTCTGTTGATTTTATGGGTGGTTGCAATGTGCTGGGAAAAGAGGGCTTGTAATTTAGCACTGACACTCAAAGCATGTTGTGATTTGGCTCAAAGCATATCGTGGTTTGGATGCCCTCAAACAGTGCATGGTTATCTTATTCATGCATTTGGTATGTGGGATTTGGCTTTTGTTTAGCAAGCAGATGCTTATGGTAATGATGTGGAAATCTCAGTATGGAACAAGGCAGATACTGTAAGTTGGTGAGAAAACAATTTCATTCAAACTAAGGGTTGGGTTATCTTTGGCAGATTGTTGATCTTTGGCTAGTGTAACTGCTGATGTGGTTTTATATCTCTTTTTGCTTTTCTTCTTGCTACCAGAGTACTTTGGATTGCATGCAGGTACTGCTATAATCTTGTCAAACAGGACATTTTTCTCCTCTGTCCTGACTTTGACAGTTGCTTGATATCCTTGTTTTAACTATACTCTGGAAAAGATTGCAAGAGTGTCAACTCCAAGAAATAAATGTAATTAAATGAAGTACTACTATGAATTGATGGAGCAGCTGCTTTTCTGTTTAAATGCTTTGCTTTCTCGACCAATTAGAATTAGAAGCTTTATTTTTTTGGCATTTCCAGATTTTTAGATTTGTCCAACTGTGCACCTTCTGCATGTGTCACATACATTTGAAGGTCTTTTGGGAACTACTTGCAGTCCAGGAGTGAAGTGTTTCCTTCAAAACTCAAAAGCAATGGTGATATCATTGCAAATGAAAGTGCCACAGAGAAAAAGACAGATCCTGCTGGCTTTGGAGTTGTTTGGAAGATGGGAAGCAGAAATTGTGAATAATAGTTTTAACAGAAGAGGTAGAAACTAATGAAGTTACAGTCTGGGAGCTGTGCTAGCTGGCCTATTCACAAATTATTTGGAAAGAAGGCTTATGTGGCAGTGATGGGGTTTGTAGCTGACAGAAAACAACTTTCAACAGTCTCCTTCAGATCTGACTGCAAAGAGCTGTGAGAAGATCTCCTGAGTAATGGGGAGATTAAATGACAGGTAACACTGACTGTGCAAAGGCATGCACATGGAGGAGAAGCAGCTGTGACTAAACATGCACAGTGATGGGCTCTGAATTACCTGTTGTGGCAGGAAGTGCAGTGTTTGAGGTAGGGTGTGGTTTTGTTTGGTTTTTTGTTTTTTTTTTTTAATGTCAGCTGAATTCACAAGTTTGGTCAAAAAGGCAAGTACAATTGTTCGAAACTTTTAGGAAAATTGGGAACAGGCCAAGGACGTTATTAGGATATGCCCATATTCTATAGAAGTAGCACTTGTGTCTATGTGGAGTTATGGATGTTCCTTTAATCCCTTTGGCATTAGCCCTGCTTTGAGCAGGCATTTGGACTGCAGACCTGTAGACTTCCTTTCTAGCAAAATCATGATTCTCTGATATCAAAAACATATAGCAAGAGATATGGAGAAAGGTAACAAGGGACATCTGGATGGGGAACGTCATCTGTAGGAGAAGTGTAATAGAGCAGCCAAGAAGGAGAGTGTCTAAGAGGACAGGGCTGAGCTGGTGGTGGTTGGATCTAGCTTGGTGTAGAAGATCTGAGTAAGTTCCTAGTTGGTGGTTAAACTGACCCCACCAAGCTCTGCTCCCTGCTCTTGCAGCCTCTTCTGGTAATCATGCTACTCAATCTCAGTTGGTGTGAGGCTCCTCTTTCTCCCCCTTTTGGCTTGGGCATAGGCACAAAAGTCTCCTTTCTCTTCTGTGTCTGGAGCTTGATTCCTTATGGTTC